CTAGGGAGGATTCTACTTTAAAATCAGCCTCTTTACTGAAGCACCCTTGTACCCCAGCCAGCCAGGACAGTGTCTACACTAGGCGTAGGCAATCCCTAGCACAGGTGCCAAAGCATGGCATATGAAGGCATTTTGCTTGGCACATGCACCTCGGGGCGGATGGCGAGGAAGGTGCCAGGGCTGCACTGTCACAATAAGGATTGGGCCCCTCACAGCTTCTCTGCCATCTGCCCCTGGCATGCCAATATCTTACAAGTCAAAGTTGCGGGTGTTTTTGGCACTCTGCCCAAAAACCTTGCCAACCCTGGTCTGCACATACTTGTAAATACTTGTAGTATTTACAAATACTATCCTGCTGCGGCTTTAATTAGTTTACTCCAGACTAATAGGGTCAGATATGTAGATGTGCAACTTTGACCAAGTAGCTAATCAGTCTACTGCGCAGTAAAGGTATCTTGTAGAAACGCCCACAGCATATTAAATAACTCTTTAGTTCTTTACAGACTGGATTCTTTATTAGGCTGCAGAATTCTTTTCTAAAGTAGTGTTACCAATTCATGTCATGCAAGACCCTGACTTCATTTGTATCCAGAATTATCTTATCCTAAATATAAACCAAAGTAATCATTAGATGTAAGAAGACCAAACTGATATACAGCAAGGACAGAGGCAATTACAGAGTTGGATGGTTTCTCTGTCAGTAGTAAGAGCATCTAAAGCTGCAATGTCAAAACGAGTAAGGCTGATAATTACTCAAACATATGAAAAAGGAAAGCAAAATTTTCAATCAGGCATTGGGGGTTGGTTTCATTAGGTTGGTTAATCATGGTAGAACAACAGAGCTTCCCAGGAACTTTACTGACCTGCTACCAGGGCCTTGACCCACTCTGTCGATGAGATCTCTTAAATTAAAAGCCTGCCTTTTTTGCATTCATGTCATTTTCCTCCTTACTTTTTTCTGCTACTGCCTAGCAGTTACAAGTCTCCTTTAAACAACTTCTGCATATGAGAATGGGACAATTTTTTTTTTCTTTACTTGCAAAGATATCTGTTTATGATAAGACACCATGAACCCTGAGGATTTCTACCCTTTGTGCAAGGTCAGGGGAAATGTTGCCTTTGAGCTTGTAATGTATGTTGAGTAGACACTGTTGCATCTTTAGAAACTTTTCACCTATCTAGTAATGCTGCTCATGCTCCAACATGGATGGAACCTCGGTTTTAGAAGTTTTTAGCCTAGTTACCTTTGTGAATTCTAGTGAGTGCAACTGAAAATGTGGATTTTTTTTCAGGTGAGGTGCGGGCTGTTTTGTTGTTATTGCTGCAAAACTCAAACTTGAAATGGATTCACGCTGGGCTTGATCAAAATGACAGACATGCTGATATACATCACCAGAATTCTAGACTCCCTGGTGGTCAGATCGCTTATCTGGAATATAGGGAACCTCAGTTCAGGTCCTTTCTCCAGATCATGCAGACTTGAACCCAGTTTCCCCCATTTTAAGTGAATTTTGCCACTAGCTGCTATTTTGGGATATGCATGTCGCCTTTTTTTATTTTTTGTCAAAAACCTTCAAAAGGCATCAGATTTTGTCCCAGTTTACATGTTGAATAAGTCTGGACTCCTGAAATATTCACAAGTTGGAAAAGGTTCCTGCTTTACTTTAGACATAACTAACATAGTAGTTACTATCTGTGAGATCAGTTTATAATTGAGAACAGTAGTTTGATAGTCCTTTGAAAACATAAATCATGGTTAATGTTTAATAGTATAATTGGTGAGCCCCATTTAATAAGCTAGATGATGTGGAGAGAAATAAGAGCTAAAATAAAAGGAACTATTTGGAAACGTTATTCCATCTAGCCAGTTTGTAGGACTCTTCTGCTGTCATTAAAATTGAAGTAGCCTGTTATCACAACTTTTGTAGTTGTACATTATAGCAGTGTTTCTCAACTAGTGGGATGCAAAGGTTGTGTAGGTGGGACTTATCTGAATAAAGTGGCATTCCTGAGAAAGGTAGGGGGCCTGCACGCTTGAGATTCCATGGGAATACACTTCTCAGAAAAAGTGGGGTTTTGTTTTTATCATGGTGGGACCAGAGTTTTTTGACAAAATGGTTGGTGGGACGTGAGGTGCAAAAGGTTGAGAGCCACTGCATTATAGCACAGAATTAAATGTGTTGGAATTATTTTGTTTGTGAGCCTTCCATTATTTTTAAAATGCAGCGTTGGCTTTTTAAATAGGTGTTTTTTGAAATAATTAGGTAGCTTTCTGTTTTGCTTCTGGTGGAAAAAAAAGTTTTATATATTTGCTCTTCTTTCACTCTTGAAAAGTATTCTCTTCTTAACATGCCTTGTGTTTAAAGAAGAGAGAGACACCTGAAAATTAGGCATTAAGAAGAGTCAATCTAAAACAATTACATATTATCAGATCAGTATCCAATATGTCTGCCTGGAACGGGAAGGGAGCCACATGCAAGGGAGACTGAGGTAGAGGGCTCTTTCATCTTTGACCTATATTTAATCCAATTTTTAAAAATTGGTCATCTCTACTTGCTGACTAATTTCTGTGGGGCAATTTGAACAAAAAAATTAAGGAAAAAGGAACCATTAATATTTCTTGTTATGGCATGAAAGCTTTATTAATCATAGAAAATTAGGGTTGGAAGGGACCTCAGGGGATTATGTTCAAACCTGTTTTTATGGTGACACTAGCAGAATTAAGCTGTTGGTTGCACTATCAAAGGCAGTCCAAAGACTGCAGGGGATAAAACAAAGCCCCACTTGTGTAATTTAATTTTTATTCTGCAGACTTACTTGGTGTATAACACTTCATAGGGTCTGCACTTTATTTCAGCCTAAGTCTTTGGAATTGGAGTGATCACAAATATTACTGGATCTATTTTCTTGTTGATGGTTACTTACCTGGTTAAGTACAGTCTTTCGTTCAAGTTGCATGATAGTTATTCCTGACATTAACAGGCAGGGTCTCTTTCATTTACTAAGAGTCAAGTGGAACAAAGAGAAGCTTCTTTTAACATCAGCTGTATCAGTCACACCATGGAGTAAGCAGACCATACACTAAATGCTAACTGTTTCTGTTTTGCAGTATTCTCCTGGAATATCTGATGAGCCGTCATACGAAAACTGTAGATAAGAATGTAGTTTTCTTTACAGAAGGAGTTCCTTTTGTAGAATTCTATCAGAATAAGGACAAAGCTGGCAGCATATTTTTATTTTGACAGCAGTCTTCCATTTTCTGTGATCAGATGTTTTACAAGCTTAATCTTTCTAAATGTGGCAGGCCTACTGGGTTACTAATTACTTAATATTGTGGATCACGTATATATTTGAAAAAATTCAGACGTACCTTCTTGTTGGAAGTAATTTAATATGTTGCATGTGTAAAACCCCTACTAAATATTCTTGTACAGTCTTTTCTAAAAAAAAAAATCATAAAAGTTACATTAGAGTTTGTAAATTGTCGAAGGTAACCCAGAAGGTTTTACTTAGCAATATTTTATAGATCATCTATTGAAATACATTGCCTAATTTTTCATATGCTTCAAAGAAGGCATTGATATTATTTTTGGATTCCCCCTAACCTGTACTTTTGAAACCAGAAGGACTGCAACATTTTAAAGAGAAGAACATTTTCCCTTTTTGCTTTCAGCCTATTTAGCTATCACCCTTGATGCATATATTTTATGTTTTAGTTTCATTTCTTTGTACAATTGAGACAATATCACTTCCCAGTAAGAAAATGGCTTATGGAAGGTTCAGGAAACTACTGATGCTCATTACACTTAATCACAGCTCAGTTCAGCTGTTGCCAGTCTCATCTGCTATTGTGTCCTGAGCAACATTTTTTTCATCTACAGAAATATATCTTCTTCTGTGAAAATACAGTTAAATATGTGGTCCCGTGTGGTACTGCCAAATTTGATTGAAATGGAAGGAATTAAATTCCTAGATTCCCCCCCCCCCCATTTACTCCATTTTCTCTATTTATTTAAAACCACAGTTCATTTGGATCAGAGATCATCATCAAGACTTGCATTAATGATTATTAATTATATACCATGCCATTCTAATTGCCTCTTTACTAGTAGAGTTGACTTTATGCACTGTTTCTCCTTTGTGTGGAAGAAGAACCTTCAACTCTAGGGTGATGAATCATGTTTCTGGTACACAACTGACAAGACAGAAAAAATACAAAGGAGCGTGACTGTACGCTTCAGGACTTGGCTGCAAGGTTATAAGAAGATTAATCCAATGTTAGGAAGAAATAAAACAAAAAATGAGAATATATCAACCATTCTTCAAAGCAGGGAAATTCATGACAGATATTCTACATGGGCAGGAGGATAAGTTGTATGGTGACTGGTGAAATGCATATATTATAAATTCTTTTTTTTCCCCCCATGCAGAATCATCAAAAGGAGTTTGGGAAATCTCTAAAGCTTTTAATTTATACTGCTGGGATTTCATATGGATTCTCCAGGGAAAATGGAGGGTCTCTGTACTTAAAAAAAATGAATGTTTAGGTTCATTTAGAAATGTACTGGGATTCTCTGTTAAAATACAGAGTAACATGGAGTCTTAACATTTCAGGAAAAAAAGAAATTTCTCATGGCACACAACTTGTATTCTTTTTCCCGGGTTCAGTGATACATTGCAGGTAAATGGAATCAGATCTGTTTCTTAGTCCGTTAATCTACATTTTATTTATTTGAACCCTTTATGTTGCTTCAGAGGATGGGCTGTAAAAGATAAAACCAATAATTATATCCAGTAAACCCCCTTTTTAACCCAACCCTTTTCATTCTGGGCTGTCTTTCATCTGTAGCAGTGCTGTTTAGAACATGCGTTCATATTCACAACACTTTTGAACTCCTCAATGAGTTCAGCATGCATTTTTGGCATTATTATCTAAAGATTACAAAACATTTGTCTTGTAATCTTAAAAACCCTAAGTAAAACGCATATGTTTGTTACAGAATATGCTGAGTTTCTACACTGCAAAGGGAGGAAGTTTACAGATTTTGATGAAGTTCGTCAAGAAATTGAAGCTGAAACAGACAGAGTAACAGGAATGAATAAAGGCATTTCTTCAATACCTATTAATTTAAGAGTATATTCGCCACATGGTAAGTAAAGCCATTCTACCCTGTATTCAGTAGTTTAACATTTACATATAATCACTTGTGTGTGTGTGTTCTCCTCGTTTGACCAAGTAAACTTCCAGAAAGACACAGTTCATAAAATTGGCTTTAAGTAAAGGTTCTGAGTGTGTAATTTGTATATGTTCTGAAAAGGCTTGTACATATTAAAATCCTTCTCTTTTCTTTAACATTGAAACCTCTCTGCACTGTGAAACTGGCCTATTGTAGGTCCCTGTTTTTTACAGTGGATACAATCAATGAAAACCAATTTTAAAATATATTAAGGTATGGTATATCAAACTGCATTCTTTCAGAGATGCCTTACTACTACAACCTATGCTTAGCCTCACTACTGAATTTGGGTCTTACCTATTACCAGTGGGGATGATAAGAAAAGGCTGCAGTAAGGGGATGCAAGAGCAGTCCTTGGCACAGAGCAAGGAGGGCTGGGGCTCTGTGTAGTGGATTGTCGTCCATCAGGGGAAGCTGGGTTGCAAACAGCAACCTGCTATTCTTAAACATTGCTGACCCTTGGCGTAGACCATAAAGCTTTTTTTTCCTCATCTGTCAAGCGGACAGGTAGTAGCTAGTCTAGAAAAAATGTTTTGCTTTGTAACTTCCTCCAAGAAGGCTTTCCAGCTGGTTGCTGCCTTTTGTTGAAAAAATATCTCTGTATTTTTTTTTTGCCAAGGCCTTTTTTCTTTCTGTCTAAACTGATGTCTTGATCAAGAACTAAAAGAGCTTAAATAAGTAGGGGAAGAAGCAGGGATGATGATGTACCTGACTGACAGCTTTAGTCTTCCAAGTGGGAACATTTTGTACTCAAATGCTTCAGTATTGTACAGACCTGCCACAGATATTAAGAGCTGAGCTGGAGTGGGATATCATGCTTTGCCTTATAGCTCATCAGTGGAGAGGATTCTCTTGGATGTTCAGAATAATTTGAGCAATAGAAGGGCTGAGGTGTGCGTGTGTGTTTCCCATCACCTGCTGTGGTGCAGTCCTTTGAGTACAGCAGCTATTGCCTAAATCAAATGATTTAGTTTAATCTGTGTGGTCTCCTCCTTCTGGGAATCCTTTTTTTTCCTGCTCAGGAGGCTGTATAAGAAGAATACCCTGTCACTCCAACTCACTAACCACCCTTTTTTGGCTCCCACAAGCAAGGTGGACATTCAGTTGCAAAGTTGATCCTATGATAGCGTAATGAAAATCTCTATCTTCCCTTTTTTTTATTGTTCCTACTTTGACTTTGGAGAATTTCCTGTAATTGTGAATGGTCAAATTGATTCTACTGACAGAATTTTAGTTCCTGAAAATGCCGTGCTCATTTGGTTGGACTTCATTTCAGTAATGTCTTAAAAGAATCTGCTGGGGACTGAATGGCCCAAATATTGGCCTGCCTTAAGGTATTTACTTTTCTGTTCAAGTTGGCTGAGATCAAAGCCTGGATGTCTGAAAGCTTTGATTGGCTCAAAGTTGTCTTCACCTCCAGCAGTGGTGCCTAGCAGAGCTGACATATGCCCTGCTTTGAGAATGATCCAAGAAAATGTGAGCAGCTACCTTCCAAGACATAATTCATAATAAACCGGTTCATGTCTATATGCAGTCATCTGCTTAGCAGTTGTACTGCTTCTCAGTTGCATCATCTCTACTTCTGCTTCTAAAATGGGTAGCTATAATGAAAGTGGCTCAGATGGCCAAGAAGTATCCAGGAGTGTTACTTGCAAATCAAGGGAAATGGTTCTTCCATGGTATTCAGCAGTGGTGAGGCCTCACCTGGAGTATTGTGTCCAGTTTTGGGACCCACATTTCAAGAAGGATGTGGACAGTTTGGGAAGAGTTCTGCAAAGAGCAGCAAAAATGATTAGAGGTCTTGGAAGCCTGACTTAAGAAAGGCTGAAAGAACTAGGGGTGTTTAGTTAGGAGAAGAAGGGATTTGATAGCAGTCTTCAAATACCTGAAGGGCATTACAGTGAGGATGGAGATGGGCTTTTCTCTGTGACCGTACAGAACTGAACTAGGAGTAATGGCCTCAAGCTTCAGCAGGGGCAATTTGGGTTGGAGTTTAGGAGGAAGTTCTTGACTATAAGGGTGGTCAAGCATTGCATCAGGCTATCTAAAGAACTTTTCAAATCTCCATCCTTGGAAACTTTCAAGAGTAGGTTAGACAGACCCTTGGCTGGGATGGTTCAGTTGAGGATGATCCTGCCTTGACCAGGGTGCTGGACTAGATGACCTTGTGAAGTCCTTTCCAGCACTACTTTGCTCTGATCCTATTACACCTTCTTGCCTGTAGTTATTACCTTGGTGCTTGTGCTTCCTGAGGGGAGAAAGTTTCCAGTTTGTTTTTGTTGGATCCTGTGCACAATCCAATTTACTGTTCAGCTGGTTTCTAAAGTTCTCGAAAACTGAAGAACCTTTATACTGGAACAGTGGTCTCCTCTGGGGCCAGGTCTGAAGAAGCTTCCATTGGTAAGCTATTCAAAGCTATCACCTGTTTCTTAGGTTCCACCTTCCATAAGGACAACTGTGTGGATCCAGACTCAGCAGCTAAGTAAAGCCTTCATTGGGTGATGAAATCAATTCAGCCTCTCAAGTCCTAGAATGACCTTTTCCTAAGAGAGACAGTCTAGTCCCTTAGTGGATTTTTACACAGCAAACTTCAGGGTCAGTCAAAGATTCCCAAATTACCTTGGGTTCCAGGAGCAGTATAACTATAGTTGTATGGTATTGTGTGTGGAATAATATATGTTGCATCTTAGCAGGGCTAATTAGACTGGGCAGAGCATTGTGCCACTGAAGCTGTCTTATTTTCAGTACCCATCATGTTAGCAGGGGTTGGGCTGGCTACAGCAGCATCAGAGACTGGGCCAAGAGTGACAGCAGCTACAGTTCTTGTTCCTCTTCTAAGAGGGTGACCAGGGTTTGTGCCCTGGTTGCCCATCTCATTAAATTATTACCTGTATTGCTATTGGCCTGTAACGTAGAGCATGTAAAACTTGTTTGTTGCATAACTTTGGGATGTCTAGCATATGCATAGTCCTTTTTTCACAGATTCTACCTTTAGTATCTAATTATATTCTTAGAAGTGAGACACCAGTTGAAAAGTGCTGCTGTTGATAATTGTAATTTTGTAAGTTAAGTCCTGATTTGAATTGTTTGTTGCCATTGTGGTACAAATATTGTGTACGTTTTTAAAGCTAGTTATATAAGGTTCTCTGTACTTCTAAAGTAGGCTATATAAATTGATGTGTCAATATTCACTAGGACTTCAGACTTTTGATTCATTTGTACTCATCCCCTGCTTCATGTTACATATACTACACAATTAACTGGTTAATCATGCAATAAATTTATACCAGCCACACATGCAAAGTAATTATCTATGACAAAAATAACTATCCAACTATAAAAAGAACCAACCAGCTACAAAGTTAGTGCTTGAATATTGTAACAACTCTATAGCTGGTTTCTGTCCAGCTTTAATTTGAATATGTAGCCAGGGACCTAGGTGTGCAATATTGTTAGTAAGGCTTGTGGTCTTGTGTCTTTTCAGTGTTAAGCTTGACCCTTATTGATTTGCCTGGAATCACTAAAGTGCCAGTAGGGGATCAACCTCCAGATATTGAACAACAGATAAGAGAGATGATTATGCAATTCATCTCTCGAGAAAACTGTCTGATCCTGGCTGTGACTCCAGCCAACACTGATCTTGCCAACTCGGATGCATTGAAGTTAGCTAAAGAAGTAGACCCTCAAGGTAAGTGTCAGCGAATGTACACCTTTCCTGTCCTAAAAATATGGTTAGTAAAAACACTTTATAATGTGCTGAGGTAAACAATGCATTTAACAGTGCAAGAACACAACATTGATTCTGAAAATCTTAAATTTTGACATAAAAATATGGAATTTCTGATCATGCAGGAGAATTCAAAAGATATTATAAATGTAGTTAAAATTTACCAACTTATGGCAATTGCATAAAATATACCTCATTGTGGAAAGGGTTACGCATCCCTAGGAACAGTACTGAGCACAGTGAGACCTTCATGCTGATGGTAGCCTTTAGATACTTCTGTACTATAAATGTTATAAAGTGATTGTTTTCTGGGAGTTCCTGGCTCATTGAAGTAATGCACACAACAAGAAGAGTTTAGGTTGGCAACATAACAACACCAGTCCCCTGCCATGTGGGGGATTAAAATGCAAAACTCTTAAGAGGTGTGAACTTTGTGAATTACCACAAGCATTTCCTCTTTCTCTGAGCAGTCGTAGTGATGAACTCAAGTCATCTTGAGTCTATCTTACTTCTGGAATGATAGTCTATTACAATATCTTGAGTAACAAATATGTCACAGGGTCACGCAGGTACTCTGTTCCTATGAGGGAATGAGGGCAGCTGAAATTCCTTAAGGCAGCCCAGGTGCTAGTTGCCAGGGCAACTAGTCTGGTCACATGACCAGCAGGGGGCAGGGCTTGGCCTTTATAAGCAGCACAGGCCAAAGCCTAGCTGGGGGCAGTTCTCTTTGGGTAGCCTGAGATGCAGGAGCTCTGCAGTAGAGCCAAGCAGAGCAGAGATAAGCGGTGCAACCTGATCACCCAAGGAGCTGCATCATGAAGTAAGGCTGGAGGGAACCCTGATTGTGAAGCTTGAAGGTGGAACATAGTGGCAGGGCACTTAAGGTATAGCCAGGAGGCTTATTTCGGTTATAGCCTGTGGGCTCAAGGCTTTACGTTTCTTGTTTGTTATTACTACAGACCGGAGGACCGGGAGAGGCTGTAGGGGTGGAGGAGGCCTCATTAGGAGCTCCCCAGAGAGGTGGGGGTGCTCCCAGCGCCGCAGTGTTCTGCTACAGTGCGGGGTGTTTAGATCCCGGCCCCAAGAAGGGGCGAACAGAGAGAGAGGCCCCGGTGAGGGCACGTGTTGAGAGAAACCCCTGAGGGGGCGCATATTTTTGATAGAAACCCCAGGAGGGGTTTGGACTGAAAAGAGGCCCAGACCGAAGGGTCCAAGGGGCCAGGTAAGGCTCAGGCTGCCTGAGCCCAATTGGAAAGAGTCCCAGAGGGGCTCCACAGTGGTTGGAACCCCAAAAGGTCAAAGGGGCCAGGTAAGGCTCAGGCTGCCTGAGCCCACTTGGGGCAAGTACTGTTAGTAAGCCGGAGAGGGCTAATGACTAGAGAAGGGGCGCCGGTTGCGTGGCAAGCCCAGTGGCGCCAGAGAAGGGGCACCGGTTGCGTGGCAAGCCCAGGGGCGCTAGAGAGAGGCGCCGGTTGCGTGACAAGCCCAAGGGCGCTGGGCAGGGCGCAGAAAGGAAAGGGACCAGATAACGTCCGGAAGAACTGCGAGGCTTGGGGCGTGCTAAAGGGGAGGTAGGAGGCACGGATAGCCCATAAGGCTGGGGTGCACCTGGTCACTCCATACGGAACGGGGACAGTATCAGCACAACACCGTGTACAAGGGGATCAAAGGCAGCCTCCCATATAAAACTATACATACCAACAAGACGTGGCGGGCAAGAAAAGAGGGTGCTGGATCACCTACTTGACACGGCGGGGGGGGCGCTAGAGGGATCACGGCTGCTCCTAGGCCCCACTCCGTGACAAAATATAAGTTTAAAAGAATAACAGGTCAGAGGTAGGCTTCAGGAGGAGTTTGATGGGATAGTAGCAAACCAAAAGGGATGTGTTGCCAGAAGTGAGGGTTGCAATACTAGCCACCAGTGATAGCACTACAGCCTCTAACAAGCAAACTTCTTGTCTTTGTTTAGCATGGCTTAAATTACTTCATATGTGGTTGATAGGACCAAGTCCACTTAACAATGTGTAGGAAGCTGTTTTCAGCAGTTGTTCCTCAGCTCTGGAATTCCTTCCACCTCACGTTCTCCAAACACTGAGTCTGGAGATCTTTCAGAAGCACTTTAAAACTTTTCTGTTTAGGTAGGAGTTTAGCAAGTGAAGCTAGCCTGGGATTTCCATTTTATGTTGATACTGTACTTGATTTTTAAGTTGCTTTGTTTTCCTGTTTTATAAGTTCTGCACTCTTATTGTAAGCCACTCTGACCCTTTGTTGGGAAGGGTGGCATATAAATCAAAGAAATAAATAGTTTTTGTTATGCTGATCCTTTGCTTATAGATGATCGATGTACACAGAATTTATCATCTGTTCTTGCACTCCCCCTAGTTCTGAAATGTTTCAGAAGTTTTTAACAATAAATGAATAAATAAATTATTGTCATTATTGACTCCAAGATGAACATGGGCCGACAATGCGAGGTCATGGTTGGCAAGGCTAACCGGACCTTGTCGTGCATCCACAGGTGCATCTCGAGTAGAGCCAAAGAGGTGATCCTCCCCCTCTATGCGACACTGGTCAGGCCACAGCTGGAGTATTGTGTCCAGTTCTGTGCGCCCCAGTTCAAGAGGGATGTGGACAATATGGAGAGGGTCCAGAGGAGGGCCACCCGCATGATCCAGGGACAACAGGGCAGACTCTACAGTGAGAGACTGCGGGACCTGAACCTATTCAGCCTCCACAAGAGAAGGCTAAGGGGGGACCTGGTGACTGTCTATAGACTCACTAGGGGGGACCAGAGGGGTTTGGGGGAGACGCTGTTTCCCCTAGCGCCCGCTGGCATAACAAGGAGAAATGGGCACAAGCTGTTGGAGAGGAGGTATAGATTGAACATCCGCAAAAACTACTTCACCGTTAGGGCGGCTAGGAGCTGGAACCAACTTCCAAGGGAAGTGGTGCTGGCCCCTACCCTGGGGGTCTTTAAGAAGAGGCTGGATGCCCACCTAGCTGGACTCGTTTGAGTCCCATTTCTCTTTTTGGGGTTTTTGTTGTTCTCCCGCCCTGGCGGGGGGTCGGGCTAGAAGATCTACTAGGTCCCTTCCGACCCTTAATCTATGAATCTATAATCTATGAATCTAAATGACCAATAACTTAAATGCATCTCTCCTGTACAAAATTCCCTGAGTAGAGCTCTAAGACTGGCAAGAAAATACTTTTTTTTCTTTATCTAAGTAAAGTCATCACAGGTCAATGAAGTGTTGGTTTTCTTTAGTTTTAAGTGATATTTTCTTATTATTTTCCTGATGGTGCAGGACTTAGAACCATTGGTGTCATCACAAAATTGGATCTGATGGATGAAGGAACAGATGCCAGAGAAATTTTGGAGAACAAGTTACTCCCTCTTCGTAGAGGTAGGCATTCAAATCCACATGCCCATTGCTTCTGTAGCAAAGTGGTGATGAGAAAACAGGTATTTAGCAACCCAGAAGGTAGCTTAATTTTAACATAGTGCTGTGTTCTGGAGCTGAGGCAAAGGTTATGGGGAACCTGAGTTCATTGCTTTTACCATTGCACTAAATTGTGAAACAGCAACAGGAGGCTGTACTTATTTTTCCCTTATTGGAATGTTTATCAGAAAACAGGCTGGGCCAGTGGTTTTTAATGGGAAGTATGAATTTTGGTTACCTGTAAACATCTTTTTCCCATGACAGTCTGTTGATCCTCACAACAGAGGAGTCTGTCTTGTCTTGATGGACTTTGGAAGCGAGCACTGGAATGCTGATACTGCCCCTATAGGCTAAGCTCTGCTTCCTTTCAGAAGCTTTGTCTATGATTATTTCTGGAACCATAGACATATTCATTTCCACTGTTAGATTTCAAAGTCATTTTGGATTAGAACAATACAGTCGCACTGAGTAGATTCTTATCTCAATACCCCTACACAGAAAGCATTTCAGCTACAATGATATCAGACCAGATGACAGGAGAGCTTAGGACCAGGGCTTTCTATTTTATTTTGTTAGTTGCCTTAGTGGTTTTCCATTTCAACATGGTTTCTCCCCAACTTATACCTCATTTAAAATTTACACCACAATTTTAGATATTACAGAATTTAAGTCATTGACTTCCATGGAGATGTGCTTGCTTGTATTGAGTCTGAACTCTTTAGAGCCTATAACCCTCTTCACACTATTTAAAGCAATACCCAGAATGTTTGAATTTGAATATTTTTGTGTGAACTAAGCCAGCCTGGACAAATTTTCTATGCACTGTACTATGATGAATAACTGCATTGACTTATGTGATAGGATTTATTTTGTTTTAGGGTATATTGGAGTTGTAAACCGAAGTCAGAAAGACATTGATGGCAAGAAAGATATTAAAGCAGCTCTGCTGGCAGAAAGGAAATTCTTCCTTTCCCATCCAGCCTATCGGCATATGGCAGATCGGATGGGAACACCATATCTGCAAAAAGTTTTAAATCAGGTACAAGCCAAACCATGTGTGTAAATAAAAAAAAACCCCTCTTTTTTTTTAAAGACCAGCTCCGTATAAAATGCTTTAAAATCAGTGTTGCAGTGCAACTGAGTAAATCCTTTATTTTCCCAACACAAAAGGCAAAGCAGTTTTCTATGTTTTTACAGATTAATATAGCTGTGACAAAACTGATTATTACTCTTTTGAACCACTCAGTTTCTAAGAATTCAAGTTTTCTATGGGTAATATAATATTCCTGGTAGCAGTTATTAGCTTGTATGGAAAGTAAACTTCAGGTTTTAGTGACAGGTTCAGCTAAGTTCAAATATGAAAAGTGTAGTGTATGTTCCAAGGACATCCTTAAATTTCTGAACCAATCCAATCATCTTGCCAACATGCTTGCCATTCTTGCATGTCCACCTTGGTGAGACATTTCTCAGATTTCAGTTTTAGAAAGTTTTGTGTCTGTACCTGGAAAAGACTGTGAATCTTGGAAAGTTCACCTGTTGTTGTTTTTTGTTTTGTTTTGTTGTTTCTAAGAGGAAAGAGACTGAATCGCTAGCTGCTTTCACATATTCCTGCCATGATCTATCAGGCCTGTAACTTGATGGCCCTGTTGAAGCATGTTCTGTGTGGGCTAGGAAGTCTTCTAGCAAGGAACAGCAGTTCAGTTTGTGCTGCAGAACTGGTTTCTGAGGCCTGTTACAACTTTGCTTGTGTTTAGGAGATCTTTGTTTTGTGTGATTATTTTTTTTATTTTTTAAGGAAACACCATATTTTTAAGATTTGAGATAGTAAAACTTCCTGAAGTTTTACTATCCTTTTCAATTTACATTAGGGTGTTGTTACACAGTAACTTAAATGCATGTTAAGGGCCTTTAAAATAGGAGTGACCATGTATTAGGCCAAGGAAATATGTGCTAAGGGCCCTCTGAGCAGTTTAGAGATAATCCTCTTCCATAAAGGATTATCTCTAACTGGTTTTGGACAGCTCATGTTGCAGTCATGTGTGACTGCTCCACAGGCCCAAAACTAGTTGGAAATGGTCCTCTAGCATCCCAGGAGGAGGCATCACTCCCAGCTGCTCTGTCTCCTCCCACAGTGACAGTGGGGGCAGCCAGGGGAGAACCTAAAGGCAAGAATCCCCCTTCCCTTCCCATTTCCCATTCTGGGCACATCCCAGCCACTGGGGCTTCTGGCCCCTGCCCCTTCCCCTTTATCCCTCCCCCTTTTCCCCTGCTGCAATCCTACTAATGCAGCCCAGTATGCTGCTAGCCTTCTTAACAAGAGCATGTTGTTGGCTCATATTTGGCTTATTTCCTACTGTAACTCCCAGGTCCTTTTTCTGCAGTGCTGCTGTTTATCTGGTCAGTCCTCAGCCTGTATTAGTGCAGTGGATTGTTCCAACATAAGTGCAGGACTTTGCACTCATCCTCACTGAACCTCATGAGGTTTCTTTTGGTCCACTCCTCCAATTTGTTTAGGTCTCTCTGAATCTTAGCCCTACCCTTCAATGTATCTATTAGGGGTGTGCAAAATGGGCCCTGTTCGATTCGGCTTGAATCAGGGACAGTGATTTGATTAATTAATTCACATCACTGACCCTTATTCAGTTCGGCCAAATCTGAAGATTCGATGCTGGTTCAGAGAATCAGCGATTCGGACATAGACACAGCTTTAAATGTTTTTTCTACATACCTCGAGTTACCAGCACAGCTGGGGCTTGTGGAGCGTTCCACAGGAGTGTCGGGGGGGACCCTCCATGTGCTCAGCAACAAACGTGGAAGTGGACTGGAAGTACTTCCAGTCCACTTCTGGGGGGGCCCCCCGCACCCACCTGGCTTGGCAGTCGGCCACGGGGGACCCGGGTGCTTACCCCTCAGACCTAGGAGGCACTAGTCACCAAGGTGGGGTGTGCAGGGGGCCCCCCTGTGAGCTCCCCAGCAGACCCAGAAGTGGACTGAAAGTGCTTCTGGTCAACTTCTGGGTCTGCTGCCAAGTGCGTGGGGGAACCCCCCACACTTCTGTGGGATACTCCATGCGCCCCAGAATTGCAGTGTCCACAAGCCACTTGCTACCTAGAGATATGTAGAAAAAACATTTAAAGCTGTCTATGTCCAAATTGATTTGGAGGGTTCTGATTTGATTCAGAGAGATTAAAGGATCTCCTGATTTGATTCGGAGATATGGCCACTGGATTGGACAGAATCTCCCCCAGATTGAATCAGGGACCGAAGCTTCGCACAGCCCTAGCATCTATTACGCCCCCCAGCTTGGTGTCATTTGTAAACTTGCTAAGGGGTATTGCATCCCATCTTCCAGGTCGTTGATAGGGATGCTGAACAAAACCAGCTGCTGGACCAACCCCTGGGGCATTTCACTTGATACCATCTCCCAGCTAGACACTGAGTCATTGATTATTGCCTTTTGGGCCAGATGATCCAGCCAGTTTTGTATCCACCTTAACAGTCCATTCATCCAGTGCGCTTCCTTGGATTGCTTGCAAGAATGTTGTGGGAGACCATATCAAAAGCCTCACTAAAGTAAAGGAATATCACATTCATTGCTCTCATGACATTCACAGAGCCAGTCACCTCATCATAGAAGGCAGTCAGGTTTGTCGGGCATGACTTGCCCTTGGTGAATCCGTACTGACTGTTCCTAATCACCTTCTCCAAGTGCTTAGAATGGATTCTTTGAAGACCTGCTCCATGACTTTTCCAGGGACTTAGTTGAGGCAGACTTGTCTGCAGTTCCCTGGATCCTTCTTCTTCCCTTTCTTAAAGATGGGCACTCTATTTACCCATTTCCAATCATCTGGAACTTCTCCCACTCACCACAAGTTCTAATAGATAATGGTCAGCAGTTCTCTTGCTTCTGAGGGACAAACAGGGAAGGGGAACCTGCCTGCCACTACTACTGGCACTCTAGCTCAGAGAGTAGTGGTGGCAGCTGGTGGGTTCCTCTTCCCTGCTTGTTTCCCCAAGATAATGTTGGGAGCTGCAGGTGAGCCAGACGACACAGGTGTTTGGGGTGAGCTATGAGGACTAGTGGGGACAGGGAGGGAGTTCTGAGTGACAGGGAGGGAGCCCCAGCATAGAGGGGATGGGTGGGACAGTGGCAGGCCTGATCTGGGCTGGTGGGTGGGGAGGCAGGAGGCGGCAGGCTTGATCTGGGAAGGGGAGTGGGGATCCAGATTGCAGGCAAGCAGGGATTGGCAGGCCCAGTGGGTTCCTGCCAGCTCCCTTGCTGCCTACAGTTTGGGCCACCTACCCTGCCCCTGAGACCAGGCACAAAGCTAGCTTGGCTCCTAGCTTGGCTCACCAGCCTTCTAAGGGCAAGTCAGAGTAGTGCACATTACAGGGAGTATTAACCCTTAATGTGCAACTGCTCAAATCATGTGCTAATTTTACCACCAATTAAAATTAGCATGTGCTACATGTAATGTGTAACAAGGCCCTTATTTTACCAGTGTTGTCTGTATTTACTCAAATCCAAGATGAGAGTTTTTCCCTCCCTCCCCAATCAGCATGGGTGGAAAAAAAGCCTCATCTTGGATTTGAACAGGGGATGGGGCAGGCAGCAGCTCAGCTTCTGCTTTGGCTTCAAGTACAGGCCCAGGGGAGGTGGTGGCTCAGCGCTGGCTCTTGCCCCTGGGGCTTGGGGCTGCAGCCAAAGTTGAGCTATTGCCTGCCCTGGGCCAGGATGCCTCACGTGGCAAGGAATTCATGTATAGAATCCTATTATTTGGGGGTCACCTCAAATTCAAAGTCAACTTGTATTTGGGTAGATATAGTAATTCTTTGGCATTTCACTGCTGCATGAAACCACACACTACCACACACCTCAATATTTATTTATTGGATTTATGTGGGTTTATAAGTATGTGGAAAATATTATGCTGTAGAGGTTCATGCAAGTTGTACCCATGTTATTACATGTGTTGGTGCCAGTGGCTCTGTTGGAAATTCAAAACTGTGGTTCCACAAGGTGGAGCTCCAAGAAAACTCCAGTGTTTCATTCCGTGGAGAAAATAACTCAGTAGAACTTTTGTTTAGAGCCTACAGGCTTCTCAGAACAACTCTTTTTTTTTTAAAGTCTTTATTTGTTTGGGGGGGGGTAGAATGTTGGCTATAGGATGTAACTGCAAACCAAGGAGCTGTACTTATCGGTACATAAATTAATTGCATCGTTATCACTTAAAGGTTGAACCCCCCCATATTTAGCAGATGGAAGATGCAATAATGGCTTATTTATAACGTTAGGAAATTCAGGTAGAAAACTGAATGTGTGAGCGGAGAGAATGTTACAGTTTCAAATACAGTCATCCGGACTGATAGATTCCAAACATCAATAAATCAAGCAGTGTTCTCAAAGAATATGACAACTGAAATAATTTTTGACCTTTCCCCGATGTTAGTTGGATGCTATAGCAACAATTTCTTCCTTCCTGAGCTTATCCATATTTCTACCCTGTAGTCCATATGCTTTACTTTATGAATGTGGTATTGTATTTATTTCAGCATTACTCTTGCCATGTCTTGGACCAGCCCCAATACACATTAGCTATATTTTTTATAAGTCATTCTTCATATAGTGTCAAAAGTGTACTTAGAAGTGATCCAGGACCCAAAGAGCTCACAAGCCAAATAAGACATTGGCAGTACTGTCCAAAACATTCCAGGTCCCATCTATATATATATATAAATGTACATGAACATAAGTCAAACTTTACACACTCAGTGAGTGTTCCCCCTTTGCTTCCCTCTTATAAACTCTTCAGTGCTTGTGGGATTAGCACTGGTAAAATGATATAAGGAAAGATTTTTTTTCAGAATTGTTGGTACAAAAAGCTTTTATAGTATAGAGCAGGAGGTCTGCTTCCTAAGCCCAAGGAACAAATGTATTATTTAAAAAAGGCAAGCTGTCACAAAAAACAATTTAGGGGCAGGTTTTCTACCACTTCCTATTCTTTGTATGATGGGAGCTGAAAGCACTTGCAGGACCTCTGTGTGAAAATCTAGAGTGAACATTGTCTGTTTCTATACCTTGCTCCCCCTATTCCTTAATTTAGGAATAGGGAGTGGGGTAGCTAAGGCATTTGCTTGTCTAAAGCTACCGTGTTGGGACCATTACCAGATGGCACAATTCAGTGCATCTCTCAGGCTATTCTGATCTGGACTGAGCAAGAAGGTACTGTAACTGGTGACTTTCCCAGTATCTCATTCCCTTTTTTATACTGTCTTGTGTTGGAAGGTGCCACCCTTTGTTAGATACTTTATTATGCTCAAACAGGGAAAGTTTAGCTCTTATTCTGCTGTCCTTGGGACTTACCTTGGCAGAAGCTATCAGGGATGCTTCTGGGTTTATAGGAAAAAGTGACTAGAGTTAGTTGATTAGATGACCCTTACTTCCTCCCTGTAGTAAAAGGGTTAGTTCAAACATTCCAGTTTAAAAGTTGCAGGACGTATAGCTCAGGTATTGTACTTTCAGCTTATACAAACAACACATCTTAACACAGTTGACCTAAGAAGTCACATTTTGGAGCCTTGAGGGCTGCATGTTTAACACCACTGCTCTATCTACGGGAATAAAAGAAATATTACACTGGAGATTTTCCAATAGTGCACATGTAGTCCTTGAAGTAATCACCTCTTCAGTGGAATAGCCAGGACTTGCTGTGTTGTCCAAAGGGAATCTAATGGGTCCTTAAAACCTTTGTAGGGTTGAAGATTGCTAGAAGGAAAATGTTCAAACTCTGGATGGCTTTGAGACCTTTATCCATGTAATGGTCCATTTAATTTACTCCTAGATAACTTGAATGTATGATAATGATACAATACGTAGAAAAACTTACTTATTCACGTCTGTAGGGGTGTAGAAATGTTCATAGGTTGAGTATGGCTGGGAGCTGGCTTTTTCTCTGGATTACAGCAAAAGAGAGAGGAACAGAATGATGGAGACACTTAACCTAAAACTGGAGGAGAAGAGAAGAAAATAAATGTTTTGGGGGGGTGGCGGCAGAGTAAGAGAAAGGGGGAGTAGAGTAACTAAAGCTGTCAGGTGCTCTTCCTTCTCCTCATTGAGTGGGAGGTAACTTTACTCCTCATTCTCCCTCATTTATGGCCCTTTTCAAAAAGAAGCAGAAGGTGTAAATGAAGAGGAGTTGGAAGACTGAGGATTTCCTGTGTGCTGAGGAGTGGGGACAGCAGCAAAGTAATTCTGCAATGGGGTTGAGAGAGAGCAGTGCTTGAGGGTGTCATTTTCTTTTGGAAGGGGATCTAGGATTAAAGTACTGAGTGCTAAGAGATGTCATTGGAAATTAAATGTGTGTGGCTTTTGTTGACATGGCTGAGTAAGTACTCCTTACTTACATAAGTGTTCTTGGTGGTCAGCATAATGAGAAGATCAGGAAATTGTTCAAGCCTTGATATAATGTGGCCAAGAAAAGAGGATTTTGTTTTGGCCTATGGATATACCTGTTGGATCAAAGGGAAGTACACTGGAGAGCCTAGCATGGGTCATAAGTTTTTTGTTGGGCATTCAAAAGGACATGTCCATGCTTTACAGCCATCTGTATTCACAGTATTAAAGGATTTTTTATTTAACTTTTCAGCAACTCACCAATCACATTCGGGATACATTGCCAGCCTTCAGGAGCAAACTTCAGAGCCAAATGCTTTCTATAGAACATGAAGTGGAGGCATACAAAAATTTCAAACCAGAAGATCCAACTAGAAAGACCAAAGCTTTACTGCAGTGAGTGTGTGTTCTTTTAGTTTTTTTCATATGTGTAAATTCTGTCTCATTTAAGTTCAGGAGGTGACTGTTTTCCAGTAAAAGGAGAACTTGGGACACTATGCAGTTGCCAAAGAGGTTAACAAGGCTCAAGTTCCAAAGACGCTTATACTTTTAAGAGGGGTTTTCCATTTCATAGACATTAGGGCTGGAAGGGACCTCGGAAGATCGAGTCCAGCCCTGCGCTTGAAGGGCAGGAAGTCAGCTGGGGTCATAGGATCCCAGCAAGATAAGCATCCAATTTTCTCTTGAAGCTGTTCAATGTTGGTGCTTGAACCACCTCCGATGGCAGGCTGTTCCAGACCTTGGGGGCTTGGACACTAAAGAAATTCTTCCTTATGTCCAGCCTGAAACGGTCTTGCAGTAGTTTATGACCATTTGACCTCGTCATCCCTTGGGGCACT